GTGTGTGTGTGTGTCTGTGTGTGTGTTTAGCTATGAAGATCACACACAAACTGATTTTAATCAGGTTGCGAAGCAATAAGAAAACAGGATGAGGATGATTATTGAAATTCATACTAGTAGTCTTGTGTGTATCTTAGTGATACTGTACAAATGTGAATTTCATTTTAACATAAAGTTCTGAATTGAAGTTTATGGGGCACAGTTACCTTTTTTTAACCTTTTTTTTCAACATTGTTTTTTTAATATTCAAATATAGGAGCAGGGTGTGGTGGGGAAAAAAAAAAAGGTTGCATTGAGTGAGGCTGTTAGGTGTTAGGTCACACTCCATCTGTCTTAATGTGTAATCATGGGTTTTATGGAGTTGGGATCGGGAAAGTACGTTTTAAGAAAATCATTTTATTTATGTTTAATCTATAATAAAGAATCAAACACATTCTCAGCCTGTGTCTTCTCTACATAAACCTGAGCTGTCGAACAAGAGAACATTCTTCCATGAGAGAAATTAAAACCCGCCAAATCCATGGCAGAAAATAGCAAATCCATTAAGTAAGAAGCTAAGGGTTCTGAGAAAACCTTTGTTATAACATGTCAATTCAGCGTGAATAATTGAATTGTGTGTGTGTGGGGGGTGGGGGTGGCATGTCAGTGTTTCCCACAGCTGCCCTTCTTATCCTCGCCCCAGGTGAAATAGTTTACAGCAACAAGTAGCAACAAGTAGTTCAGGCGGAACATGAGAGCACATGTGCTTGAAGGGACAAGGCAGGAAGAAATAGTTTGAGTCTTTAATTAAGTAATTTGACTGTGGTTTACTGGTGGGATTTACCTCCTGTTTGGTTCATTTTAAGTCCAGGTTGGACATGTTCTCTCAGAAGAGATACATAGAGCAAAATTAAGTATTATTTTCTTCACTGATCAACAAATAATTTGGTCTATAAAACAATAATACAATTTTAAAAATGGCCATCACATCAACAAATTTCTTGTTAGGTCTGAGCCTTGGTCCAAAACCAAGGCTCAAAAAAAATATTCAATTTACATCAGATCCTCACACTGAGAAGCTATAACCATTACTGTTATTCTTGCTTCAGAGAAATGACTGTAATGACAGTATTTCATTCACTTGTTAGTCCAAGTGATCAGCTCTAATAACAAGATAAAAGTGTGTTCTCTTTGTGTGATGACTACCGTCCAGTGGCACTTACACCTGTCATCATGGAGTGCTTTGAGAAACTGGTGCAGAGTCATATCCTTGCCTACCTGCCTGCTGAGCTGGACCCTCTTCAATTTGCTTACAAAGCAAAGAGGTCCACGGAGGACGCTGTATCTACAGCACTTCACGCCGCACTGACCCACTTGGAGCAGCAGGGGAGTTCCGTCAGAATGCTCTTTGTGGACTTCAGCTCAGCGTTTAACACCATCCTCCCACAACGACTGGTGTCCAAGCTGGTGGACCTTTCTATCAGAGGGTCAGACTGGGTTCCCACACCTCCACTGCTCTCAGCCTGAACACCGGCTCGACACAAGGTTGTGTGCTTAGCCCACTCCTCTACACCCTCTAAACGTATGACTGTGTCTCCACCAACTTCAGCTACAAGATCGTGAAGTTTGCAGATGACACGACCGTGGTCGGACTCATCTTGGGCGAGAAGGGTGAGCTGGCATATAGGGACCAGGTGGAGCGGCTGTCAGAGTGGTGCAAAGTCCACAATCTGCTCCTCAACACACCCAAAACAAAGGAGCTGGTTATTGACTTTAGAATAAAACAAAACTGACATCCAGCCACTCATCATCAGCAGGGCCTGTGTGGAGAGGGTCCCGCTGTTCAGGTTTCTCGGCATGGAGTTGGAGAACGACCTTACCTGGAGTACCCACACCAAGGAGCTGCTGAAGAAGGCGCAGCAGAAACTGTACTTTCTGAGAATCCTCAGGAAGAACTGTCTCCCCCAAGATTTGCTCCTGGCTTCTTATCACTGCTCCATAGAGAGTGTGCTCACTTAAGAACTGTGTGTATGGTACCTCAGTAGCACATCCTCAGAGAAGAAGGCGCTCCACAGGGTCGTTAGGGCAGCAGAGAAAACAATAGGACAACAATGTTTATACTATTCCACCAGTGCAATATTTACCACTACCAGTGCAATTTTTGCAATTTCTGTAAATACCTGTGCAATTCTTGTAAATACCAGTGTCAATACTGTACATTCTTACTTTTACTGTTTACTTTTACTATCTTAATACTTCTTTTTATACTTTGTTGGTTTTTGTTTTAACTTTAAATGAGTCAAGCACCTTTTAATTTCATTGTAACTTTCAAAGTGACAATGACAATAAAGTCTTATCTTATCTTTGTGCACATATTGTATCTTTTAAAACAATTGTACTATTAACTCCGCCAAGGAGGTTATGTATGTCTGCATTCAATGTGTGTTTATGAGTAAGGATGAACCCACTAGATTTTGGTGCTGATCTGTAACAGGGGGTCGATCCAGGATCATGTGAGATATTTTGTTTGGCCATTTTTGTTCATTTTTCAGAATTACTCGTAGAAATTGATAAAAAAAAATCATGACTGTTTTGGGGACTGATAATTATGACTGTCAGATGGTGCAGATCCAAAAAAAACTGCATTTCTAGTGAATTAAAATGTGGTTTCATAAGGGGACCGCTCTACTGAGTCCTATAATAGTTTAAACCATGACAGATAAATAAAAAAAAGTGTATTATCTAAACTATTCTTGTAAGATGGGTTTATCCCCTCAATAAACTCGGGGTGGAGGGGATAAACAGGCCTTTTTCACAGCAGAACATACCCTCTTCTTCTGACCAGTGAAAAATGACAGGTCCTAATATAACAGCAGAACATATTGACTTCTTTTCCTGACTAGTATGTGTAGTACTGTGTTGTATTTCAGTGTGTCAGTGGAGCCTGACAAGTGATTCTCAATAGACAGAGGATCTGTGACTCAGTGTGTGTGGAGATATGTTTGTTATTACTAAGCATTTAAGAATATTTAGTTAATTATTTTATTTAGATCGATGTATTGTAATTGATTAAGGTACTGTTTATTTAGCCCTGTAGTTCTGAATCATTTTGTACAGAATGTTCTAAATAAAGTTGGGAAAAAAACTCGGATTCATCTATGAGCAGGTGTGGTGCGCATGCGCGGGGCGGTGGACGGAAGCCGGTGTGGTTCTCCCTCTGTGTGTGTGTGTGTGTGTGTGTGTGTGTGTTCAGCTCTTCAATGACTTGCACAGCCTCAGCTCGCTGACTCCCAGCAGCTCCTCTTCTCCTCCTCCCAGCACCTCCACTAAACTAATGCCGTGTGTGTGAAGTGTCGCCGGACTCTCTTCTTCTTCTTCTTCCTCCCGGACAAACCTGAAGCCCGCGGCCACTTTGTCGGTACGTCCCGCTAACAAGCAACTGTGGAGCCTCTGGGTTTGTAGCAGCCGCCGTGAAAGAAGCGGAGGTGTAATCTCTGAAACAGCCCTCCTCTGCATTAGATGGCTAAACCGATCTGCCTAAAACTCCTGTCAGATTAGTTTCGATTACCTGAAGCCACAGATGCACGCTGGGTGCTGGTGTTAGCATGTGAGCTAACTGACTGAGTGAGTGTCCACGTTAGCAGGAACTAAGCTGTAGCACTGTGAGTGGATCAGGCTTGTTTCCCCACTCCTGCAGCGTTGACATTAAGTCCCACTGCTGCTGTGTCCCTTTGCTTTCATCGTGTTTCTGACTCATTAACAGCTCATGCTTATTCTATGTTTTTTTTATATCTTCTCTCAATGTCAGGCTCTGCAGGGCTGCTACTCTGCAGCTCTGATTTAAAGTTAAGTTCCTCAATCTGTTGTGACAGTCTCCCTCATGGGCTCAGTGAAGGGGATCTGTCTGTCAGTGCAGGTGTAGATGTGGAGATCACCGACAGAGTTAAAGACAGAATTAAAACAGGATTATCTGCAGGGGGAGTGGCTCATGTGCTGGATACATTGAACTGTAAAGGTAACTTGCAAACACTTGAGCAGGAACACAAAGATTCCACTGGGTGAGGCCTGCCTCGCTCTCAAAACACTTTCAGTTCTTCTTGCATGTTGCTTTATCCCAATCGGGGAAGCCATTAAATGATGAGTTAATTGTGGACTTGGCCAACAATAATATTCATAGGCTGTATTCCAATGATTGATGGGTGTTACAGGGATAGTTCACCGAAAAAATGAAAATTCACTCATCATCTCACCGCTTTGCAGATGGAGGGGTGGCTGAAGTGTTTGAGTCCACAGCTGCAAAACTGTTTACCACTGAAACTCTTAAAGTGTTTTTTGGACTCAAACACTTCACACACCCTTTCATCGGCATAGTGGTGAGATGATGAGTGGATTTTCATTTTTAGGGTGAACAATTCCTTTAAGGGCCCAAGCTGTGCCAAGAAATTCCTCCCCACACTTTACACCACCACCCGCTGTTGAGTTAAAGCAGGTTGGGTCCATGGATTCATGCTGTTGATGCCAAATAGTTGTAGATGTGTTAGGGTGCGGAATAAAGCTCAATTCCTTTGTTTGTCAAATCAAAGCAAAGTCTTCTCTGATGCATATATCTGAGTGAGCTATTTTGAATACCTCTTATGTGCTTAGAAAGATAAAATATTCCCAGCAATTCACTTAAAACCAACCATTTAACGTGGCAGGCATGTATTTTTAATCTCATGACCCGTCAGATGTATCCTGTGACCCGTCGTTGTGGTGCAGACCCCAGGGTTGGCAACCTCTGATTTTACGTGCAAATATAAACTAAAGAGGCCACAACCATTTTAAAATCATTTAAACTCCGTACTAAGTGCAGTAAACTAAAACAATTGTGAATGTATATATGTAACATACTAAATATATTAAAAGTGCTTTACATATTGCAAAAATATATCAAGAGAATTCAATCACAAACCAATTGGTGAACTGTATCCAATAACATAGAAAGCAACATTAAAAAGGATAAAAATGTGTAGCTTTAACATTTAATAGAATAATCGTCTCTGGTCCGACATCTTCAGGTGGTTTGTTTCAGATGTGAGCAGCATAAAAGATAAAAGCAGCTTCACCATTTTCAGTGCTAACTTTAGGAACCATAGTAGATCTCAACCAGATGACTTGTGAGGTCTCAACGTGAGATTGATGGACAAGCAGTAAAAGTAAATTCTTTATGACACTTGCTAGTTCTGTCTTGGAGCTGCTTTCAGACATGCAATGAACTCTGCAGAATCTCCTGACATTCTTCAGAGGCGCTGCGTGTGAGAAAGCAGATGTTTGAGTGAGAGGCTCCGAACTTTCTCCAGAGTTACCCCAGATAATGTCTCTTATTTACTGCCTCCTGCACAGTGCGTTATCCCTCACTTATATACTCTGAAGATGTCTCTGTTGTTGTGAATGCAAACTCTGGACAAATTTTGGAGCCAGTTTTGCAGACAGGCTTTTAACTGTTTTTAATTCTAATGGTGAATATGAGAGAGAAATGAGAGATTTCCTCTTTTGCAGGAGTGTGGGAGCATCATGTGGAGGAAGGCTTCAGCAGTGGTCCTGCTGGCATTAGCTGCTGGATATTTCTACCAAGGCAGCCCGGAGCTGCCAGAGCAGATTTTGCAGTACATCAACCTGCCAGTTTTTTGGTCATCATCTCACAATCTGAGCAGCCAGAAGAGCGGGGAGCAGGTGATCTCTGCTGCCTGGGAAGCGCTCATTACTTTACCAACACGCCAGTGGAGCAAAGTGGCCGTAGGGTGAGTTACCGAACAAAATGTTTACGCAGATCCTGTTTAGACCTGATATTAACATCCATCCTGAGTCATCCCATCACAAGTGGTAAGCAGGAAGTACATGCATCATCAATGCACCCTAAGAGCTAATCAGTCAAGCCACATTCAAAGGTGGTCCAGGAGGCAGGTCATAGGAAGGTCCACTCACAAGTCTGCACAGGAGACACATTCAGGATGAATTTAATGCTAGGTGTTAACAGACTTTTTCCATACAACAGGTGCACATGCATGCAGAGAGAGATCACTCTCACACACAACAGATCCTGAGTGACAGGTTCACAGACTAAACAGTGAAAAATAAACTCTATAGTGAGAGAAACAACTACATTGCATGCCACAAGTACGGCTGAAACAATGAGGTCACTGACTGTACGATGAAAATTTTTATGGACCATAGTGCAAGCAGGTGGTAGCTCATGGTAGAGCGACAGCACACAGCATATAGTGATGGAAGTAGAGCTCCACACCAAGTTAGAGATCTCCTATATTATAATGTGAAGTATGATCAATGTTTTGATCCATTATGAAACTGTGGCGGGACAAATTAGAAAATGGCGGGCTGCCACAGTCTAGATCTTGACAGTCTTCACTGTCGATCCCCGAACACTCTCTGGACTCAGTGGCTGATATTGCTCCACAGACCAGCTGTGTCGGTTTGCTGTTGTTCACACGGGCAGCGTGTCCACTACTGGCAGCAGAGCTGCTGGTTTAACTCCTGCATTTCCTTTAATACAGAGGGATTATGTACTAAACACCAGGATTCTACAGAAGGAAAACGTGCAGTCTGTCGATAACAAAGTCCTGTTAGATCAAATTAATCGATTTAGAAAGTGAAACTCTGGAGTGCTTTTACTTTGAAACAGGTATGGGAAGTGTTGGAAATACATTTGTGTTATAGACAGATAAACAGTGTGGTTCACAGCAGAATAAACAGAGAAAAGGATCCTCCCCTGAGTTTTAAAGTTTATCTGATGAAGGTATGCTACAAACATAAATAAAACAGAATACCACTGCAGTTCACAGCAGAATAAACAGAGATAATGATCTTTCACCTGAGTTTTAATGTTTATCTGATGAATTTATGTCACAAAAACAACACTTTCTGTATCCCGTTTAATAAAACTAGCGTTTCTGTTCACCGAATCCATTTTTTTGTTTTGAAAAAAAGTTTATTGTGATATATTCGCAGGAGCGGAAGATGCACGGCTTCATACTGTATAGTACTGGTATTTATTTGAGTACACAGGACTACTTTTATACAAGGAAATAGTCAAATTTATGACCATATTCAAGGCAAAGCCTTAGTAAAAAACATTGTGCTGCAGTAGCAGAACTCTGCAGAACATATTGTTCAACTGAGAATCTTAATATTGTGCATTGAACAGATGCTGTAAATATGAATTGATATTAATGTGAATATTGTGCATTGAACAGTTAAAACATCCATAACTGCCTTTCTTTGTTTATGTCTATGCTCGTACATTAAGTCTTTAACAGAAATTGTAAAAATCATAAATATGACCCTCCTAAGTGTCGGGGGGTTATATCACGGCCCACGTTCTGAATTAAAAAGTCATCTTGTGCTCGAAAAGGTTGGTGACCACTGCTATAGAGAATTAATGTGAAATACCGGATAAACTTAACACTGCCCGCACAGAACAAATGTAAATACCAGGTCTGAACAGGGCCTAGGAAATATCTTTCTTTAGCATCAGACCTGTTGGTATTCATTTCCACGTCAGGGGCCCTTCAACTCTGCTGAACACTGTGGCATGTTGAGAGGCTGCAGGCAGTCAGCTCTGCTAGTCAGAAGGAATTTATTATCAAGAGTCAGTCCCAGCTCAGAGGGCGTGGTCCAAGACGGAGCTGCTCCAGTAAATGATATGACTGTCTACACCTATAACCTATAGCCTTAAGGCTGCTTTAGAGCAGCCAACACGCACATCAGCATTTTTAAATATGTGGAAGATGATGATTGGCCGGAGCTGAAGGACCGCCCACCAGAGGGATGAACAGTTGGTGTCTACCTATTGGAAAAGTAAAGGGAGAAAGAACTAGAAATGTAGAACTTTTTAAAGTGAATCAGATAATGTAGCTAGGGTACATTTACGAGAGGGGATTAGCCTGCTGCACAATACATTTACTCATACATCACAGAAAGTGTTTGATGTTAAAGGTAACTGGATAGAAAATCTCAAATGTCATGTGGAAAGAAATGTAAAGAAATAGTTTTTATTAACTTACTGTTTTTTGCTGCTCATCTGTGTTTTATATTCTGGGTATTGTTAGGAAGTATTGTGACTTACAGCTGGGAAAAAAATGAGAAAAATGTCATGTAAATACAAGCAGACAATGTGACATTTTGATTCATTTCCCTGTATCTTAAAACCTCACCTTCATCTTAAATAAGTGTATTCTATATTTTGGGGTTTATTCATAATTCCAGCCTAAATTTAATAAATGTTTATCTCATTAATAACTCCTTATTAGTGATAACTGTGATGGTGTCCTCCCCTGTTCAGGGTAAATGCCTGTGTGGACGTGGTTGTCTCTGGAGTGGGATTACTGCAGGCTCTGGCTGTGGACCCCGGCACCGGCCTTGATCATGAAGTTCTGCACTCCAAAGAGGACTTGAGGGAGGCCTTCATCCACTACATGGAGCACGGAGCAGCCGCTGAGCGCTTCTTCAGCGATAAAGAGGTCTTTCAGATGATCGCACGTGCAGCAGCAGAATACCCCGGTGCAAAGGCAAGACGGCCTTACTCCCTCAACTTTCTCAAAAGATTACATTTATTTTCATTTCATTTAATCACTTTGTGAATGATCCTATATCCGGTAAACTTTACTTTTGTCTTTTTTCAGTTATACGTGGGAGGGAATGCTGCCCTCATTAGTCAGAAGCTCGCCACCTACCCTGATCTGATGGTATAATTCTACTTCTGTCACAAACTCTTAACTCACTTAAACTAGATTAATGAACTATTCAAGATTTTAGTGGCCCATTTAAATAACCATCACTGATTTAAGACGGCCAATTGAACCAGCGTCAGGTAGTTTAGGAATACTGAGTAATGTTTGAGTGCCTCTCTTTGCAGAAATCCATTGGACTGTAGAAATAATGAACCTGAGAATAATGCAATGTTATATCCAGTCAATAGAGTGATGTGATGTTAGATCTTAAATGTGGTGCGAGAGGCTCAGTCTCCGGTACTGCAGAAATCCCCTGCTCGGTAAAATGTGAAGCAAATCACAGGAGAACAGGTTTAAATGAGATTTTAAAAATCTCCTTTGCAGCCACGTGTTAACAGTATTATAACAAAATTCAGAATATCTGGTTTCAAAAATATGATTGTATTTTTTAAAAAAATTTAAAATCTACAGCAACATTTTCTGTCAAAAACCCCATGTTATACAAAACCAATTCAAATATAAAATCAGTCCACTACATGACCGCTCAGTTGCAGAGCTGCAGTTCGATACCAGTGAACTAGATTTGTTGAGTGTGTGATCGTGGTTGTGTCAATATTTTTCACACCCCAGGTTTTGTTATGTGGTCCGGTCGGTCCTAAACTTCATGAGATGCTGGATGAGCAGATTGTCGTTCCACCAGATTCTCTTCAGGAGATGGATGAATTTCACCTCATCCTGGAATATAAAGCAGGTAGAGAGAGAGAGAGAGAGAGAGAGAGAGAGAGAGAGAGAGAGAGAGAACACCCTGCACCTCCTACAGGATCTGTTGTTTTTACCTTGATCCCTGTTAGATCCCTGTTAATGTGTGTAATACCACAGTTGTGTCTGGTCTTATTCTCTGTCTGTAGGTGAAAAGTGGGGCCCAACTCAGGCACCTCAAGCCAACCGCTTCATCTTCTCTCATGACGTTTCCAACGGGGAGATGAGCTCACTGGAGATCTTTGTGGCGAGTCTGGAGGAGTTCCAGCCCGAACTGGTGGTCCTGTCAGGGCTCCACATGATGGAGGGTCAGGGGAAAGAGCTTTGGGAGGAGCGGCTGAAAGAGGTCAGTTTTCTCTGCTGATTTTATTTTCATCAACAAAGCTGCTGCCTTGACCCATTTACTTGAAAGCACATTGGTACAATGGGTCATTTTCGTTATGAGTTCCAGTCACAAAAGATGAAACTTTAATCACTGTATCGCAGCTGTTTTTTTATTTATGTTTGATAATTCTGTGAAAAGTAAAGATGAAGGATCATTCATATGTTCTTCTAGTCTATGGTAGTGAATATTAATGAAGTAATTAGTATTTTATATCATGTGCACACATAATACAACAAGTACAAACAACAAGTACAGTACAAACAGTCAGTTTTAAGTAAATGATTAGACACCTGCCTTCATTCTAAAGGGATGGAAGAAAAACTTCACCCTCAAAAATATCTTTGTAAAATGTTTTTTATGAAAGCAACTCATTAAACAACAACCAATATGAATTTATTGTTTTGTCAAATTAAATTTAAATTGACACTGTTCTACAATTTAACCACAACAATAGAAACGTGTCTTCCTTTTCTAGCTTTTTTTTTTGCTTTTTGAGCATCAAACTACTTCAAACACCTCTTCGTCCATTTCAATAGCATGAAAACATCAACATTAGATTAGTGTGATCATGGTAACCAGCCTTGGTAGTAACACAGGCTTTAAAAAACTGGATTAATAATCAACATTGTGAGTTAACAGTTATGTTTTATTATTATGAACAATATGTCTGCATGGTCATACAGCAGTGACTCAAATTCCTTCCTCTTTCCAGGCTGTGTCGGCCATAGCTGACATCCGTAAAGATATTCCCATCCACCTGGAGCTGGCAAGCATGACCAACAAAGACTACATGAACAGCATCATGCAGGAGGTACATGTGGACAGCAGTTCACTGAGTCCCTGTCACAGAAAAGATTTCACTAACCCTAAAGAGGTCTGTATATTAATTCAAGTTTTTTCTCTGTTTCCTGTTAGCAGGTTTTGCCCATTGTCAGCTCTATCGGGCTCAACGAGCAGGAGCTGCTCTTCCTCTCTCAGGCCAGCGAGGGGCCTCATGCAGACTTGGGGGCCTGGAAAGGTGTCCCTGATGTGGGGCAGGTCAGCGACATCCTCCTCTGGATCCTCGAGCAGCAAGGCCGCACAGACCCATTGTCGGAGGCCGACCTCACTCGCATTCACTTCCACACACTGGCTTACCACATCCTGGCTACAGTGGAGGGATACTGGGCGAATGAGGCGGCAGCAGTGATGGCTGGAGCCCGAGTGGCCAGCAGTCAGGCCTGCGGGCTCCAGTCGGTTGACATTGGCAAAGTGGAGCTAAAAGCCCCGCTAGAGTTTCATAGCTCGTACTTTGAGCCGCGAGAGAAGTTGTCCCTGAACCCAGCAGAGCCTGTTACGGTGTGGCGTCGCGGAAACGTCACTTTCCACCTCACACCAGTACTGGTCTGCAAACAGCCACTTCGGACAGTAGGGCTTGGGGATGCCATCTCAGCGGAGGGACTAATTTACTCAGAGTTAAAAACCCAGCAGCCCTTCTGAGGTTTGGTTAAATGTGACTGGAAAATGTTGATGGGATGTGCCGAGAAGACCCAGTGACGTTCCCCCCTGCATCTGCAGTTGTTGGGTTGGAATCATGTTTCTGAACAAGTTCAAACCTCTGTGTCCTGAGCCAGGTTCAGTGTCGTCCTTTCCAATGTGCTGAATGCCGACAATTTAAAATCCTGCCCGATGACACCTCCAGTCTGCTTTTGTCTCCTCTGTCCTCCCTCCTCCAACCCTCACTGACTGATGTAGAGACTGAGGCAGAACCCAAAAGAACTGGATCTGACTGGGCTGTGAGGTGGCTGGACTTTTTGCACATGGCACAGATAAAAGCCATCTTCACAAACTCCAAAGAGTTTTGTCAGCTCGCACCTAATTTACATTGACCTGCATATCTTCAGTACGCTGTGCCTTGAGAAAATATCAAGTTATTGATCAAATTTTTATTTCTATTTCAGAGCCAAGCAAATTCATTGTCACGAGTTATCCCTCAGATACATATATAAACACACTCAAGTAATGGAACTGTAATCTGAAGAGCATCTTACTGTACAGTAGAATCTAAGTGGTATTCTCAATGTTCTTTGTATCTCGTCAACTTTTGGTGCATCCACGTTAAATAGAAACGGTTCTTCTCCCAGGGGTGTCTGACTTGTCCACTCATACTTGATGTTTTTTGTTACTTTTCCTGAGAGGATGAACTAATACTAGTGACTGAGACAGCTTTTCTCAGTTTTTGGTCCAAACGCGCCCACTTTAAAGATGCTTAATTCTGGAAACTCCACAAAGCACAGACAACAGTTATCATCTCTGTTGTTTGTAGATTTCTGATGCAATGTTCTTAGTCGTTTATAATATACTGAAATGTAACATGCTTTAATGCCAACTTTAAATATTATTTTGATAAGGGTCCTCCTTTTATGCAGTAAAGCTCAGTTTACATTCAGATTCAGTTGGCAGTAAGATAAAGATGAAATAAAACTTGAAATTGTGGTGTAGGTCACATGATATCAGGGTTACTGTTGTTTGTAAAGATTCTTTCTTTTCATGTATTGTTTTTCCTCACCTCTAAAAATGTGATAATGTAAGACGATTGGCTAGAAAATCTTAAACGCTTCCAGTGTAACAAAGTTTTCCGGATTTAAATCTGAGCATATAAGTAAATTATGTTGTTACGTGGGTCGTTTTTCTGTTTTCTGTACTTAAACGCCTGCATCATGTCAGATGTACAGTATGTAACTGTCAGAACATTGTGTGTTGTATACCTCAAATTGCCACTGAAGGCATGCAATAATAATGGAGTCTTAATGCAAGCATTCAACAGAGAGATGTATGGCATTCAGCGGATTAAAGTCTTTGCACTAGTACGAAGTGGCAGGTGTGCCTGGAAAGGTGAATGTAACCTTAACCCTCCCCATCCCTCACACCCCATTTATTTTTAGCAAGTACAATCTATTCAACTTTACTCACTCCATAGTTTGTCTCATGTTTTTAACAATTATAACTGTCGACAAGTGTCATTTACTTGTAGTACTCATTAAAATATGTATAAACAGTCGAGTCTGGCTCGTTGTGATTGTGTTGCTGCAGAATATGGAATATATTTGTAGTTATTGCTGAAATTATTATTTAAATAATGAAGTTCTTGATTGAAAAAACAATCAGTGACCATTTTAAAATGTCAAAAACTTTGTCAAACATTTTTATTCCAGTTTCCTAAATGTAAATATTTGCTCATTTTTTTCTGTTTTCTATCATTGCACAGTGAATTATCTTTAAGACTGTTGGCTGAACAAAACTTTTTCTCTGCTCTGAGAAATAGTTTTGAGTATTTTACCATTTCTTATGGCAAACCCTGCAGCTGCCCCGGGATCTTAAAACCTCAAGAGCCCCAAAACGCCCCAGTTCAATGTTTGCATATCTTGCGGTGATTTGATTGATTGAGAATTTGCTCATGTTAATGCACCAATACATTACACTTTAAGAGCATTTTATTGAGCCTTGCATTAATCATGAGACCCAGGAATTTTTTGTGAGAACATTTTGTATTGTTGATGCAGCAGCTCTAACATTGCAAATGTGGTGAAAAAGGTTCCACAAAATATTTGTTCTGATCAGAGGCCAAGCATTTATACAGTATGACTTGATTGGCAGTCTGCTAAGTCATATGTCTCAGATATTTTCTTTTTCATGGTTTACAATTAAATCATCTACCTAGAGGACTGGATGCATGGGTAACTTCGTGGCAGATTAACTTGTGGCTCCAGGGCAAAAATGTGTTGTTGGGCTTTTATGGACTTTGCTTTATCATTTGCAGATCAACCTTGTTGGCAGCTGATGGTGGATCCTGATAGCGGCACTGGATCATGACAATGGTCTCTGGATTGTGGTGGCAGCAGATAGTGTATTTTTTTACCACTGCTTGATGAACAATATGCCTACTCACATAATCTACCATTACTGACAACAACTCCTCATTAAATTTACTTTCCATTATGTTACAAACTGTTTTCTTCCATTCAGTGTTGTAAATACTGTTATTTTGTTGATCTTCTCAGTGACAAGCAACATCTCGTCATACCAGACTACACGACACCCAAGACAAAGTCTCCAGATGTTCAATTTGTTCATCTACTAAAGCAAACATGGCTGTTCTTGTTTTAAAAAAATATATTTTAAATGAATGACACATGTGTCATTAACAATAATCTTCAGTGTTGTGTTTAATTGCAGTGTTATAACTTCACAGCTTCCTCACTGGATCCTCTAGCCCTGATCCAGGACCATCATATCAAATTTTACCAACAGACATTTTGGTAAAATATATGTTCATAACATTCATTATAGGAAAAACTACTCTTATAATGGGCAAACAATTTAGAAGCATCATAAAAACACATACAACAAATATTTTATTATTATTGTTACTATTATTATTATACCTATATTGTTATTATACCCCAGCTTGGTTGAATTCCCTATTATGTCTCGTTCTTTAAAACCTGGAGAAACTCTCAACACTATGTCCATTGTGTGAAAAGGGGCCCACCCCAGAGTTCTAATGGCCCCCCCAGTGTGAGCAGTCTCGCTCCGGGCCTGCATTCCAGCGGCTCAGAGTTTCTCTGTCACTTCCTGGTCAGACCTGGATACATGGCACCGGCACGCGGCTGCAGCCGATTGGCTTGGACGCTGCGGGCACGTGCACCAATCAGAGCTCTGTACATCAGCGGCTCGCTGTACGGAAGCCGAGAGGGAGGAGCGGCCGCGGCTTCAGCCTCCACCCAGGATCAGCAGCCCCGCTTCCTGCCCCCCCCCCCTCCTCCGTGTCCCGGCTCTTATAAAGCTAACAGGAAAACTCAGGCCGTCCTCTCGGGCCGCGCGTTGCTCTTCTTGTTGATGGTTAGACTCTGCGAGAGAAGGATGAAGTTACTCGTCGCCGTCACGATCATCGTGGGGTCGCTCATTTTTCTTGCCTTCCCCAATGGGTCGTCCGCGGACGAGAAGAAGAAAGGCCCCAAAGTAACGGCGAAGGTAAGGGGGCCGGGAAATCACAGCTAACCGAGGGATGCTAGCTGCATTCAAAGCCACGTCACTGTCTTGGTTAGCATGTAGCTGCTAACATCCAGGGTCCTCTGCCATTAGACTTTGTCGTTGACATTGTAATCAGCGCATATTAGCAGGTTAGCCTGTGCTGCAGGGGGAATCCAGCCAAATGAACGACAGGGGTTAGCTCAGTTGAACACACGGGGCTGCAGCTCCTGGGGGCTCTGCAGGTCTTTACTGTGGGTGCAGCAGCTCCGTCCACGTCTACAGTGAGCGTCTAGATCTGACCTCCTCTGTCTCAACACCTGAAACCATCTGAGAGTCTCACAAGGCCCAATCTAATCTATTACACATGCATGTCTGTTGAAGAAGGAGCCATGATTTAAAGACATTATAGTCTGTGTGTGCAGAAGAGCATTGGAAAGGAAATAGTTTGGGATGTTTAGGTTATAAGAGCTTCAGAGGATTAAAGCTTCAACAATTAGTCGATTCAACAAAGTGAAAGTTAATTGGCGATATGCAGATTTTCATTTGAGTCATTTTTTTCAGGCCTCTAAAATGTGCTGCTTCTGTCAACATTTTGGGTTTTGACTTGTAAGTTTGATAGAAGACATTTGAAGACACCATCCACAATGGACATTCCTCACAATAGTCTGACCTGACGGAGAAAATGGTTTTTATCAATGAACTAATGGACAAATTGAACGACAATGCAAACAATTAAAGTTGCAGCCCTACAAGTTCTGAAATTCATTACACTCATAAAGCTTCAGTCAAACTCCCCAATTAAAGAAAAGAGGATAGTAGATATTGATGAACATTATGTTATGATGTTTGTAATGCCTCTAAGATAACTCCTCGTCTGCCTGTACAATAATGTCAAGCCATCCATTTTGATATGAGATAACTTTATAAAAAAAAGTAGAAAAGCCATTTCCTTCCTCACTGGAGTATAAACTGACTTCTTACCTTTCCATCTTTTCCAGGTGTTCTTCGACATTAAAATCGGAGATGAAGACGCAGGAAGAATTGTCATCGGCGTGTTTGGGAAAACTGTTCCCAAAACAGCCGACAATTTTATCATGCTGGCAACAGGAGAGGTGAGTGTCATGGAACTTTCCCCCTCACATTACCTTTCTTTTTCAGGGAGTCTCAAATACCTCTTTGGTACAAATTGTTCTTTGCAATAAGCTGTTATGTGGTGTTCCTTCCCTCCCTATGATATGTAGCGAAACCACCTACTTCATCGAAGGCCATTTCTGTCATAAGTCGGTAATAATGACTTTGTTTCTTATCGACTCAGACAGTGAGTTGTGTGGTGCTCAGGGTCAATCCTTTTGTGGAAACTCTTTTTCTTAATAAATATACAAGGACAATTTTGTTGTTTGGCCTTTATTTTCAGATTTCTATCACAGTAAGAAAGTCAGAATTTTGACACAGTTTGAATGTAACATGCTCCCAAACTGAGTTATCCTTGACTGACATGACTGTGCATCAGCTGTGATGGAAAAGAATAATTTATACACATGAAGTTCCCCAAGTGACTCATCACTTTGTCCTGGAGACTCACTTTTAAATCATTCAAGTCACTTGACCTACTTAGTGTCAACACTCTGGCAGCTGCTCCTGTTTAAGTTTTTTTTTTTTCTGTTTAAACAGAAAGGATTCGGATACAAGGGCAGCAAATTCCACAGGGTCATCAAGGACTTCATGATCCAGGGCGGAGACTTCACCAGAGGAGATGGCACTGGAGGTAAGATGGCTACTAACACCTAAAGAAATTTATTTGGCATCACTGCCATCCTGAACACACTGGCTTGGTTTTTTATCAGAAGCAGTTCTGTCAAAGCTGTCCTGAAAATTCCAATTGTGTACTTCAACACTTTCTTTGTATCTGTGTTATTTCTATTCAAGTTAAAACATCTGCAACAATCCTCTGAGCATCTAAGCTTTTCTGAATTCAGGTTTCTGTGGTTTTATAGATATTTATAACACAAATTGGAGTTGAATTTCCTGCTATGAGCTGTTTGCCAAATGTCAGACTATCAGCAGATAATGAAACTTGTGAGATGCCCGTATTTAGAGTTCAGTGTTTATGAGTAACGAAATGTCATCAAATAAAGTGAAGATAAACATTTGGCAGCAATTAAGTAAACAGAGTGATCCAAAGGTTATGGAGAGTGAAAGCAACACGCTAACAAACGAGAACCAATCATCCCGTTAAAGATTTATTTGAATGAAATAAATATCGATTCCTCCTCGAAGGCAAGAGCATCTATGGAGATCGTTTCCCCGATGAGAACTTCAAGCTGAAGCACTACGGCCCCGGATGGCTCAGCATGGCCAACGCTGGCAAAGACACCAACGGCTCCCAGTTCTTCATCACCACAGTTACGACCCCGTGGCTGGACGGCAAACATGTCGTCTTTGGAGTCATTCTGGAGGGATTGGTGAGTGTCGGTTCTGACAGTGTTCACATTAAGTACTTGGGTTGAAAGAGCCTGATGTTGATGTCTGAAAACCAGATCTGAAGGGTGCTTTTGGCTGTTCTTAGAAAGATGTTGCATCTAGTTTGTTGTCAACATATCTACAGTAACTGATTAGATAACATAACAGCTAAGAGGGTTTCAAAACAAAATAAACACGATGATGGACACACATAAATGATTGTGCCATCTAAATATTAATCTGCACAGGTTCAGTCCTGAATACTAAAGGCCAGAGTTGTTTCTGTGATGTCCAAAATATTTCAAGAGCCAAAACTTATTTTATAGTTTGAACAAAGGTGGTTCAGCTCCACAGGCTGTCAGGAACCGTCTGATGTCTGGCGTCGTCTTCTTCCCTTTGAGTAGCTTTGATTGAAGTCCTCACTTGATCTCTCCCTTAAATTCATCTGCATGTAATAATTCGTGAATATAAATCTCATCGGCTAAACTGAGTATGAGCAGCTCGCAACATATCAGGTAGTTAACACTCGCTCCACTTTAGTCAGCTACAACAATAAAGGGATAAATGAATCTAACTAAGAGGGGGCCATTCTCTACCATGAGAACAATGATGCTCTTACACTATAAGTTTTTTTAACATTTTTACTGATTGTACTTAGAAGGATTTAAAGTTGTGTGTTGTCAGATTGTTGTATAGCTACTTTTACACATCTAAAGGATGTTAGTACTTTCACCAGAGAGGTTGACAATGACGTGGATAAAGCAGCTCACCATTAGAGTTTATTCTTGATGTAAATTTTATGTACAAATCTGTCTCAAGACATACATTTGTCTAATTTTGATGGTGAATTAACCTGTTGTGTTAAAATTCCTGTCTTACTGAATATGCCTTTGATTTTACTGGACCCTTCTAACGTTCTCCTTTTTTGTTTTTCTCCAGGATGTGGTGAAGACGATCGAGAGCACAAAGACAGATGGTCGCGATAAGCCTCTGAAAGACGTTATCATCCACGACTGCGGCAAAATCGACGTGGAGAAGCCGTTCGCAGTGGCCAAGGAGTAGAGCGCCGCTGAGGGGAGCAGCTCAGGGGAAAACAGGACTTAGGGGGGGAGTTTAGGGCAAATCATGCAGGCCACTCTGATTTATCACTAACAGCCCTGTGGTCCTGGAGAAATGGCTTCGGATCATTGTGTCAGTGGCCGCCATCTTAACGCACCAGAAGAGCATTAATATCAAGCAATCAAATGGGTCCATTCACCAACGAGCATTCCAAGGTGCAACTAACTGTTCATTGAGGGTTGTTTTTTTTGTTTTTTTTTCTAAAATAAATCCTTAATAAAGAATCCAAGTTTTGTTAAATTTTGGTGTCTGTTTTTATTCACATCTCCCTGAAATGTGCACAAGTTCAGGTGTTTCAGGCATAAAGCTGTGTGCCTGAACGGAGTCAAGTTTATAGACAGAACGTGTATGTGGATCATGTCATGCATCAATTTACACAATTTTAGGACAGTTCTTTTTGTAACTACAAATTATGCTATTTCTTCATATCAGTTTGCCATCAACCTATCTGACGACTACAGAGTTGGCTAATAATAACACAGACTTTACGCTCTGCTCCACTAAAAGCTAAGATATCTGATAAAGTTGACAGATTGTTATAAAAAGTTGGAAGTTGTGGGATGTTCTTGGTAACTGGGTGGATACTTTCACACACAAATGGGTTTTTAAACACATAGAAATGGCTGTCAAGATGCATTGCAACTTTCTGTACCCAAACTAAGTTAATGTATCCTGGTAAAGGGGCTTTTTTTCTGCTCATCTTATTTTGCCATACAATTTATTTTATATGTTCATAAACAGAATTTTAAAAGCTTCACAAACAAAGTTGGTGAATTTCATGTATGTCAATAAGTCTCAAACTAGAATGGCACTCAGTGGAGCCTGTACCCACCAAGGCCCAACACTCATATTTTAATTCTCTAGATCCTGATTTTTAAGATCTGCATCAAATTGCACACACTCATAAATATCACTTAAACATGGCTGATGATTCTCCTAGAAGTTAACAAAAATGTTAAAAAACACCCTGTCTCCCAAAAAAGTCCTGGATCCGCATCCACCCCAAAATTGTAATGGGTTCTCTCCTGACATATACCACATCCTACCACTAAGTGTCACGGTAACCTGTACTAGTATTTGGCAATCCTGTTCACTGACAAACAGATGAAATCATATCCTTGTCCTGCTCTCTCTGACCAAACTTATATCATCTCACTGGCAGACGCAGCTGACTTGGGTTTCATCTGTCTTTGAATACCAGACGAAAAACATAGGGTCATAGGGTCCACTGTGCCGGTGGAGGCGTCAGTAGAAATGAGATGTTTGAGTCAAGAGTAAACAGCAATAATCATGTGAACCATTCTCAAAACATCTGCTGTGTGTCTGTGACCAATATATAATCATGATATGTGACTAGTAACTAAAACAACCACCTCATCAACCTCATGTTTACTATTTGCAAAGGACACTGTTAATAACTGTGTCAGTTGTGTAATAAGGTCTGAGTACGACCGACAGAGGGCGCCCTGGCACCAGAGACATCAGATTCACATCAGATCACAGAGGACGTCCAGTGTTTGTGGTTTCACATGTGATCTTAGTCCATAAAACTGAAGCCATTGTGCATTGCTGTGGTTCTTCATCGCGTCATAATTGGTGAGGACAATAACTGGCTCCATTTGTTTGTTCCACTCCTATCACACGTCGTCTCTGGGGAAAGAAAGTGTGAGCACTGAGAAGAATCAACATGTTACTCTTCTGCTCAGTGGGTTGGTTTTTACTGCAGCAGTACGACACAGCTCATGTTAATGTGATATGTTTGACATATTCATCTGAGGCTGCAGGCCTTTTCAATCTGAAACGTTATGTGTCCTTGACTTATCTGATGTACACTATGATTACATGTTTTTGCACTGATTGGCCTTTCGTTAGACATGTTAATCATGTGCTGTAAATACCATCTATCTCTGTTAAATAATCATTACTTACTTACTTATTAAATAAAAATGTGGTTGCTCAATAAGAGGCCTTACACCTAACAAAAACTATTTACCATACATTATAGTTGACACATGGTCTGATGCCCCCAAACACTGTCCCCCGATAATCACTGATATAAAGTTATTTATTCCCATGGAGCCATTTTTAGAAGAGGCCATGGGAACAGCGCTGGGTGAGGGAATGTGATTCTGAAACATGACGACCTCATCCACCTCTGTGTACTCATCTGTGAGAGTAATCTGAAATGTACATTCTCATGAAAAAGGTCTGAGATTGCTTGTAACATTGGACCTTATTGAAACTAGAAATAACACACTGGTTGTATGCCTCCCCCGCCCAGCGCAGCTTCAGTCAACATCCTTCTTTTATCAGATCTGACCACTGAAATCTAATCAGTTCGTCTTTGAGTGCAAGTTACAACTGGTCAAAATTTGTAGAAATTCACGAAAGACAGTCTTGAGATATCACGTTCAAGAAGCAAAAATGTTGACCTTGAATGTTGACCTTGAGATTCCTGCGTCCATGTGACAGTTTGAGAGTTTTATTATTTCCCTACGGGGTTCCTTCATGTTCACAAGAGCATGAGGTCACTGTGATCTTAACCTTTGACCTCAGACCACCAAAAATGGAATCAGTTCTTTTTTGAGCCCAAGTGAACGTTTGTACCAAATATGAAGACATTCCCTCCACACGTTCCTGAGATATCATGCTCATAAGAATGGGACAGTCGTGACAGTGTGGAGGCACAAAGACCAGGACAGTTGACTTTATCTGTTAACTCTAGTAAATGTCTCTTTGTGGAACAAACTGAGCTGATGTTGTGAAGATGTTTGAGTAGTGATATTTATTTCTCAATACATTTCTAATGTTGGCAGAGCTGTAGACTTTTTCTTGAGTCAAGCTTAAGTCAGGCTTGAGCCTGATTTGAGTCTTGTATGTTTTGACCCATTGACTCGAGGTTTGACTTGATTTGCATAAGAGTGATCATCTGGAAATATTAAAAAAAAAAGAAATGTATTCACGCTTACCCTTGTTTTTAGTGAGGAATGGGCTAACTGATGCCTCTTGTTCACCAAGTGGAGAGCTCATCTTTATTTTCAGACATGGTTAAATTGTTGATGGGCGTAGAAATGTTTTGACTTGTGTGCCATTGGTGTATTTCTCACAATTATATAGTTTGATTTAGCCCTGATGAGCTGTGATTATAGTTTGGGAGTAATTTGAAGTTGTAAAAGTGAATATTGTATCTGAAAGGGCCTTGTCTTTGTCCAAATTCAAATTCTTCAGTATTATTATTCAGTATGTTCGTCTTTTCATGAATCATTAATGGAAAATATGTGTCAGGATTGCTTAACAACAATCCAGCCAAGAAAAGCCAAATGAAAGTGGATCTTTGCGCTCTGCCGTCCTTGTTTTGCCCAGATTCACTCAGGCATCGAGTGACTCACCAGGAGGAAAATATGGAAAGAATTCCCTGGAGTTGGCACAACTGTGGTCTTGGTTAAACCCTCTGTTGTTCGGTTTGTCCTTGTTTGTGGCGATTGGGGATTGTCCAGTGAAACAGTGTTATTCTTCACTTACCGGCTTTGCTGGAAAAGCCGTGACGGGCCGGACATATCTGGCATAGCTTCCTGCGAGGCGCTTTGTCAACGAGATTAAAAGAACACTGGGGAGAATCACAACACGGAGCGTGGAGGTTTTCTGTCACACTGGAGGGCCGAACGTCCACATCCTGCCCTCCTGTCAGGCTCCAGCAGGCCGTGTTTTTATGTTTGTCTCGTCACTTTCAAAGTATAAATGGGGCAGATACAAGAAGGTGTATTGGACATATGGATTCCCGCCAGAATTACTCAGAATAAGGATTTTTACACAGTCAAGAAAATCCTCTGAGCTTTTTCTACCTTTTGTAAAAGTCCAGGTACAAAAATATGTGAAAATGAGACGTCTTCATCTGCTCTACAGAATCTGCAGTTCTCCCTCATTTTTTAGCATCTTTCAGCTCCTTGTTTTGGTTTTAAGACTTCATTGTTTTGATTATCTCTTTCACCAGTCTCATGGTGATAAGATAAGTTATTGATCCCACACCAGAGAAAATCACTGAATCATACTTACACACTGAATTAAAAATATTGATATTATAAAACATTATAGTGTAGTTAACAGAAATTCACTTTTCCCCCCCAGTCTTATTGTAGCTACTTTGGCCACTTGCTAGTTGGTATTTTCTAGCAGATGTATAAATAGTGATTATTTCTAAAGTATATCAAATGATTATTCATTGGTGAGAAGTAATAATTTAGAAATGTATTACCCTGAGTATATGACCATGCCATTTGACCTCAATCCCTTTTGCTATCACTCATGGGTATTTCCTTGTGGACTTTGATTGGCTATATTGTGATTCTTGAATGACTGTTTGTTGTTTTTTGTGGATCATCTTTCTGTTATTCTAATTGACTCTTGTGTTCATTTGTTTGTGTTTTTGTATTCATTATGTTATGTTACCTTCCTCATTTGTCCCTGACTCTGTTGAGTTAACTTTTGTTTTCCCTAACATTGTCTAATTCCCTGTCTTATTTTGAAGCCACTTTCCTTTTGTCTCTTACTTTGTCATTTCCTGTCTTTATCCTGTGTCTCATCCTTGTCTGAACGTGTTCTTATCCAATGTGACACCCGTGTTCGGTTATCTCTACCTCTCTTGAGGATTTAGTCTGTGTGCTCTCGGTCCAAATGTGTGTCAGTTTGTCTGCACGGTGTCTGTTCAGGTCGGGTTTTGAATTTCTCCGGTGGTTTTGTGTTTTTGACCTTGGCTCCAGTTACCAGTTTTTTTCTTGTGTCGATGGACTCCCAACCCAGCAAAGCTTTTGTATTTCAGTACTGAAATAAATCACTTTTCTGCTTCTGCCGGTCTGTGTCTGCACTTGGATTCAGGAAAAAAAACAAAACGTAACATTCAATTAACCAGGGACCCAGAGACACAACAAAAGCAAAATGCTTTTTGTATGAGTATAACATATTTCCAACTTCTTTACTCTCATTTTCCCTTTCTGTCCTGTTCACTATTGCCCACCTTTTCCATTTCCACAGACTTGTTATGTTTTATGTATGTTTTTACAGATCCAGCCACGCCCACCTTCCTCACCCTGTCCTGCCCTTACCAAATATCTGGATTCCTCACACACACACCTGATCACAGTATCAGCTTCATATCTGATCACCTCAGTTGCACTCTCTCTCAGACTGTCTATCATGCTATACCTTTCATCCTCAACTTCACCTGTCCATGCCTGATTGCCTTC